TATATTAACAAAATATCATTTTTTATCTTCTTCATTTCTCCATTTTTTTCCATTAATCATTAATTCATCATACCAAGTTTATACTCTTTTTTTTTTTTGACGTATGCTTAATGATCAAAGGTAAGGATTACAGACGATGGAATAACTTCTCTATTCTACTTTGAAGAGCTTTACTATCTCCAAGATTATATAGAGTACAAATAAAATATAAGTACAACTTCCGCACGAATAAGAAAACATTTCCTTGAACACCCAAGTTGCCTTCGAACATGATTTAGGAGATACCAAAAATTTCCTATCTTGGCTTTGGACCCTGATTTCTAATGATGTTGGGAAATGAACGAAAAGGAAAAGAAAACGTGGTTGTTGACATAAATTAAATCAGGATCAAAAGAACACGAAGAGTCTAACATTAGATAAAATAGGGACGAATAAAAAACGACCAAGGCTTTGTAAGGAGGGCGATCCCATCGTAAGGGGTACTCTCCTTCAATGCCCTTGGCCACTTAAAATCCTAGGACTTTACACTTGTTAGGGTCTAGTAGGATTTGAATTCCTGATTGTTTGAGGGACCATGAATTAGAATTGATTCCATCATCACGCTTTTTTATAAGAAACAAGTAGGAGTCGCCAATGAGTTTTAGGAAAAACTCATAAACCTCGTTCATGCCTTTCTTCCATGTGGAGTTCATGGAATAATTAGCACAAATCATAAGTTTACCCATGCCCAAATTGGTCTTTAAACCAGAAATGAGTTCGGGAGCGAGGGTACTAAGATAACGTTCCTTTTAAAAGGGAATTGCCATCCTATCCCTAATACGGCCTCTACTAGGTCATCCTTTTTCACAGTTTCATCACCAAACAATATATGCAACGCGATACCTAAAACTATGTTAGTTGATTTTATTTACAAGCACTAATTCATGTAGGAATTACATCGCAAAAGTTGTTCGTTATTCTTATTTAATAATATTCGTGAAAGAACAATAAATAAACAAGATTCGCCTTGACTTAGGCGATCAACCAACAATTATTTAATTCAATTCTAGCCTTTATTTAACGCATGATACTATGTGCAATTGATTAATTAATTATTTTAAAAGTGATCAAACAACACTAATTAATTAATTAAAGTGCTTTTAAACAAGAAAAATAAAGGTGATTTAACTAAGTGCTCTAGAATTTACCACTACTCTTTGCTAGATCTCCGTTTAAATACTTATGGACACCTTCTTGTTGGGGAACCTCCACAGTAGTAACAAAGTATCGAAAGGGTGAGTGTTTAGGACAAGAGGGCTAGGCTGCACAAGTTCACAAGTTATTTTGCCAAGGTTTTAGGTTAATTTCTCTTTGTTGAAGCCTCGGTTAAAGCTCGTATTTATAGAGAAGGATTAGGTTTAGGGTTTCGAGCAATCTGCTGCATTAGGTGTCGAGCACAACAAATGAAGTTGCGCGCCGTAACCCAGCGCAAGTTATAGAGTTGCGCTGCTATGTACAGTGCAACTTTTGGTCTTGCGCGCGGCTTTATTTTAAGATTCGATTTTATATTTTCCGTGTAATTTCCGAATAATTTCAAATCTTCTGCAGCGCAACTGTAGAAGTTGCGTTGGGTGTCGCGCGCAACTTAAATAGTTGCTTGCGACAGCCCAGCGCGACTTTGTGAGATGCGTGCAGCTTTTTCTGCGGCAGCATTAAGTATTAACCTAGGCGCTCCTAAATCCGTCATTATTAGGGTTTAAGCGCGGGCTTAAGCCTAATTATGATCGGGTTTAGTCAATTGGACGTTTGTTTTGGCTTTTCTTTAATTTGGGCTTAGTCTTTTGTGTTTTATGGCTTAACCAGTTATCCATAAGTATTCTTCACTTTGATCCAACACGAAGATGACTTTATTTATCGTCATTGCACTTCTTGTCGGGACAGGAGGCCAAAGGTAGATGTCTACAGTTAACCCCCACTTTTATCGTGTCTAGAATAGACGATGATCAAAGTAGTCAAGGAAATAAATCTGAGACTCATTCTGCAAAGTTCTCTAAGGATATAGAATCTTTCAGTAATGTTTAAGGATGTCGAAACAATCCTTGGTTCGCTAAGTGTTTAAAACAAGTAGCTATTAAGGCTAGAAAAGGTCCTTCCTAGTCTTAACGCGCTAAAGAATCTAGATTGGTCCTTTGCAATTGTAGAATGCTCTTACAAGTAAAAGTATTCTGGGTGATGTCAGGTCATGAAAAGAAATCGGTTTTAAAAGGATAAAAGGGGAGGATTTCCTCTCAATAGCGTCATCGTTGGTCTAAATTCCCTCGATACGTCATTGAAACTTTAGCATGACTTTAACAAAGTAAAAGATGAAAAAAGGGGGGTTTTCGGTATTCGATCCGGGTCCGGTATTCGAGTCGAACGTCCACAAGATATAAATACATGTCTCAGGACTGGAGGCATATATCTAAATTCAGTGAGAGGGTAGAAAGTCAGTAACTCTCTCATCACTTTTGTCCACAAGATGAGTACACGTGTCTTAGGACTGGGGCACGTGACTACATAGGCGCGACATCGTCTTGTCACTTCTTTATACAGGGGGCAAATTTGGCACCCTAAGTGTCCGGTAAGTTAGTAAGCGCACTAACTACCGTATTTGCTCCCACTCAAGAAGTGCCTGATCTTGAAGGTTCGGCGCGCCCGTCGACTAGTTAAGCTGACGCCTACAGTAATTCTTTACCTATTAGTTCCTAGAGGTTGATCTCGCAAAGCTTGGGCTAAGTGAAATTTTACGCATCACCTACGCCGTACAATTTTGCGCCGTACGATACACCATTTGCATTTTTACGCTGCATGAAAACGCCTTCCTTTTTGCTTTGAACGTGAAAAAAGAAGAAAACTCGGACATTCGTAACGTCAGTACAGTAAAATGACAAACCTGTCTATGGGTGCTTTTACGTAAAGCACCATCGCGAAACATCTTAAGGCACTCTTACGAAAAACGTTCAAAACGTATGCTTGGGGAAGGCACAAAGCACGGTGTGCATGCAAGAATGATGCAAAACACTAATAAAGAAGAAAACAAACTACATTATGCAAAGAAATTTAAAAATATTTTGATAATTTGCGCGCCATTACGTCTAATAACGAGAAAAAGCCGTTAAAAATGATCAAACGGATCAAAATCTGGATACCGGTGATTTTAGTGACCAGTAATCGTGCGCAACTCAGTAGGTCGCGCTGGCCAGGCGCGCGCATCTTTTTGAGTTGCGCTGGTCTGTCACGCACAACTAATTCAGTTGCGCCCGACAATTAAGTCAGCAAAAAGAGAATCGCTAAGCGCGATTTTTCATTTCGCTTTCTCTCTCCTTCCTTCACGATTTTCGCTTCTTTCTCTCGCTAAAGAGCTCAGAGTTTCTTGTTTTTCGAAGCTAAAGGAAGTAGATCTCATCCCTTATTCATATTTGCCCATAATTAGTTCATTCTAGGCTGAATTTGGGCGATTTTCAAACCGTTAAACCCTAAATTTTGAATTTGGGGGTTTTTGATTCGGCTTGTTTTCATGAATTTGTTTTATTGCCGTTGTGACATGTTTAAGTAATATATTGCAACAAATTTCATGTGAAGTGGTAAATTATTTATCCTGTATGAACATGTCAAGCATATATGTATTTTTTTGTTCTAATTTTGATTTTGCGTGTGCTTAAATTTTATTTCTCTTTTGTTTTGCTCACATAAACTATAATTGTTAATTTTAATGTAAATTGAAGTGTTTAGAACAACAATTATGCAGTAAAATTATTAATGAAATTTTGAACTTTTATAATAGCATGAATTTGTTCTTGCGACTCATGTTTATTTTTTCAATGAAGTTTCAAAATTTGTTTTATCAATGATAAAAATAACCGATGGTTATTATTATTCACTTATAAAACTATGACCTCAAGATTTGCACAAAACTAGTTAGTTTAGGAAATTGTTGAAGACATCATCGAACTAGAGTAGTTTAGCTATACTTTGGGCTTTTGAGCCCCCATTTTATATTATCGAATATTGTAGCCCCCAATGTTGGGTGACTTCGATGACTTGTTTATTTTTTAATAATTAGTCCCTTTCATGTTTCTTAAAGTGGGTCTAGAAATCCTGTGTTTCGTCTTATTATAATATCAAATAGGATCTTGGAAACGATTAAACTAGTGTGTTTTGACCATTCATAGTTTTAACAAAGAAATTTGCTAAGTCTAGTAATATTGGTCATTCATTAGAACAAGTAAGAGGAAAAATGAAATGTTGTTCAAATTTTTTGTCTATTCTTGCTACTTTTAAATTCTTTCTTTTAAGTTCAAATTTTGAATCTCGAGAATGTAGATGTTATCCTCCTTGCGAAATTCCAATGTGTGCAACAATGGAGATTAATTTTTAATGAATACTTCATAATTTAGAATTTAGGAGTCTTTTACATTCTAAATCATGAAATTGTTTGTCTTGTGTTAATAAAGTGTCTTGATACAATTTTCATGATGAATGATTGAATACTAAACTTTGGTATGAGCAAGTATGTATCATGATTTTGTTTCTTTTGCTCTATACTAGTCATACTCTCTAATCTCTAGACTAATTGAAGTATTCACCAGTAGGCGAAATTGACTTTTTGTAACTGGCATTGTTGGTTGCGAATGCCACCGTTACAACTAGTGAAAATTATTCGTAACAAGCTAATGTTAGTTACAAATAATGTACTATTCGTAACTGGCTTAACCAAACGCCAGTTACAAAAAGTCTATTTTCCAAGTTAGAAAGCATACTATTTGTAACTGGCATTAAGTTACGCCGGTTACAATTAGAGTATTATTAGTAACTGCCAAACATTAACGCCAGTTACGAATAGCATTTTATTTTATTTAAAAAAAATCAAAGTGGTAGTAGTAGCAAATGCTTTTACTGCCATTACCCACGCAAAATTTTTTTTAATGTGAAGATCCATAAATTTTAACCCTACTTTTATACCGTAATAAATACAATGAGTATTAATCTAAACCACGTAAGGTCCAATTTAATCAACATCGATTTACATTATCAATTATAAAATATAAAAAATGATAATACTTGTAAATTACAAATATGTCACCAACTTTCAACTACAAAGGACATGTATGTAATCCTAAAAGAACAGAGTGATAAGAGGCCCCCTACGTCTTGGTCTGCAGATGTTTGCTCTTGACTTTGTTGATTGGCAATGCATTTCCAATAGAAGAATCAGCTCCAGAGGGCATTAGTGGGTTCCCTGTTATATCATAATCATGTATAATAATTTCCATGTTCAGGACAACAACAATCCTGTAGAAATTATGGCCTAAATAAGTTCTTACCCAACAAAAAGCATGCACAAGTATTGTAAATCACAATGAACTAAGTTCTGAAATTCAGCTCTAAATTCAGTTCTAATTTTCAAATCTTAAATTCATCTCTGAATACAGTTCTGAAATTCAATCCTGAAATTCAGGTATGATTTCAGTTCCAAAATCCATGTTTCATTTAAGGAAGGCAGAAAGAGAAAGTGTGTGACACACTTAATTTTCAGAAACCACAACTGATCTAAATATTCTAAAGCAACAAAAGGAACTATGGATTGATAAAAATGAAGATCAAAATATAATGCAGAAGATAGGATCCAAATATATAGATACAGAGTTGTTATATGCAAAAGATTAACTCACAAACTGAATTATATAGTATCTTCACTTTGATTTTAGCCACTGATTTTTGAGGGACCTGCTCGCTCTACCATGAATTCATGAGATGTTTTCTGTTATGTTTCAACCAAAAAAAAAAATCAAATTTAATTTGATATTAAAATTTACATCTAAATTCATCTGCACAAAGGAAACCAAAATAAACTAGTGTCTACAGTACAATTTACATGAACATTAATCGATGATATATATATATATAGAAGAGTAAATTAAGATGACAACAAAAATATGCATGTAGAGAAATGAGAGAGTGACAGACTTGACAATTGGAAACCAAGAAAGAGACCATAATAGCCAAAACTAAGTAAGACAAACCTGTTTTATAAATCAGAATAAAAAAAATGCAAAAACAGAGTACGATCGATTTCTCATATACATCAAAGCATATTATCACATTCACATTTTCAAGATTGAATTCTCAAATATATCAAAGCATTCCATACAACAGCAAGCAGAAGATACATAGAGATGCAAAATTAATCTGATAGTTACCTGACATAAAATAAGGTGCTAATAAACTAATGAATATGATATGCATAGAGATGCAACAATTTACAAAGCTTATAACCACAACATTGCAATACAATAGCACAACACATTTTCTCTTTGATCTATCAACATCACAGAAAGCATCATTGCAACATATATACTTCCTAAAAACTCACTTCCATACCATGTTAAATTTGTGTAAAAATGAGATATAAGATTGTTAAAATTTAAAAGCATAGTTTATTTAAATTGAATACTATGATATAATACTAAGCAATTGGAGTTTGGCAATTGATCACAAATAACACAAGAAATTTACAATACAAATCGTTAAAAATTAAGGGAGAATTAAGATGATGACACAGATTTAGAGTGAAATAGAATGCAAAAAACTTTAAATTGGACCCTCTTAATTTTAGGGCCATATCCACGTACTTGAACTAATCTTGTAACCTCTAAGTCCCTAGTGAAGTTGCCACTGTAAGGAGGGTGATCCCATCGTAAGGGGTACTCTCCTTAAATTCCCTAAGCCACTTAAAATCCTAGGACTTTACACTTGTTAGGGTGTAGTAGGATTTGAATTCCGGACTCTTTGGGAGACCTTGAATTAGAATTGATTCCATCTAGGAATGGCAACGGATCAGACTCGGGTCGGACTATGTAAGATCCGGCTCCGATCCGCCGCACAATCGGACCTTAAGTCCGAGTCTGAAACCGAGTCCAACTCTGAAAACTCAATATCCGACTCCGAGTCCGATAAACTATGCACCCTCCGACTCCGACCCAGGTCCAAACCAAAATTATAATAAATAAATAAATAAACTTGAATTTATTTTATATGTCCAGAATATACAAGATTCAACATTTATAATACAGCAACGAATTTTAATTGTATTCTATGTATAAATTAAATTAATCGAACAAAAACAATGGCATTATTAAACTTAGATCTAGAAATATATACCAAGCATTTCAATTCAAAATGTAATAGTACAACTTTTCCTTCATATTTTATGCTTACTAGCGAGTGAGAAAAATAGATCTACATACAACGATTTGCGAGTTGAGCCCAATTCAACTACACATGACAACCAAATTTGTGCTCTTCAAATAGATATGAATGAATAAATTAACGGATGAGATAAAAAAATTAGAGGAAGCTTCAGATCGAGAAGATGGACTGTAGTTTTTATGGAGTTTCTTTAGTGGAGAGAGAAAGAGAAAGAGAAAGAGAATGAGAAGTAGTGTAGACTTTGTAGAGTGTAAAAGCATTGGCAGAGAAAAAGTGGCGTGTTAGAGTAAAAATTTCTATTTATACCCCACAAAAAAAATGATAAATGCTGTAGAAACTTACCCTAAATTGTATGTATCGCGGGTCAGAGTCGGACTCGGGTTGGGTCCATCGGACTTCAGCTAAGATCCAAGTCCGATCCGACTCCATTCGGACTCGGACTCTTTAAAACGGACTCGGTTTTGGATTTTTCTTCTTCAGATTTGGATCGGACTTTTTTCTTCGAATCGGATCGGACTTGGATCAAATTCGAATTGAATTGCCATCCCTAATTTCATCATCACGCTTTTTTATAAGAAACAAGTAGGAGTCGCCAATGAGTTTTAGGAAAACCTCATAAACCTCATTCTTGCCTTTCTTCCATGTGGAGTTCATGGAATAATTAGCACAAATAACAAGTTTACCCATGCCCAAATTGGTCTATAAACCAGAAATGAGTTTGGGAGCGAGGGTACTAAGATAACGTTCCTTTTAGAAGGGAATCGTCATCTTAGCCCTAATACGGCTTCTACTAGCTCTTCCTTTTTCACAATTTCATCACCAAACAATATATGCAACGCGATACCTAAAACGATGTTAGTTGATTTTATTTACAAGCATTAATTCACGTAGGAATTACATCGCAAAATTTGTTTTTCTTATTTAATAATATTCGTGAAAGAACAATAAATAAACACCATTCGCCATGACTTAGGCGATCAACCAATAATTATTTGATTCAATTCTAGTCTTTATTTAACGCAAGATACTATGTGGAATTGATTAATTAATTATTTAAAAAATGATCAAACAACACTAATTAATTAATTCAAGTCCTTTTAAACAAGAAAAATAAAGGTGATTTAACTAAGTGCTCGGGAATTTACCACTTCTCTTTGCTAGATCTCGTTTAGAACACTTATGGACACCTTCTTGTTGGGGAACCTCCACCATAGTAACAAAGTATCAAAAGGGTGAGTGTTTAGGACAAGAGGGCTAGGTTGCACAAGTTCACAAGTTATATCTCCAGGGTTTTAGGTTAATTTCTCTCTGTTGAAGCCTCGGTTTAAGCTCGCATTTATAGAGAAGGATTAGGTTTAGTGTTTCGAGCAATCTGCCGCAGCAGGTGTCATGCGCAACAGATGTAGTTGCGCGCGGCAACCCAGCGCAAGTTATAGAGTTGCGCTGCTATGTGCAGCGCAACTTTTGGTCTTGCGTGCGGCTTTATGGTAAGATTCGATTTTATATTTTCTGTATAATTTCCTAATAATTACAAATCTTCTGCAGCGCAACTCTAAAAGTTGCATTGGGTGTCGCGCGCAACTGAAATAGTTGCGCGCGGCAGCCCAGCCCGACTTTGTGAGATGCGCGCGGCTTTTTCTGCGACAACACTAAGTTTTGACCTAGATGCTCCTAAATCCTTCATTATAAAGGGACTTAGACCAAGAAGTGAAGGTAGAGTAGGAGGAGTTAGCTAGAGAATTTCTCTAAAAGCATTAAAGAGTCCTCTAGAAAAAAAATACTCAACTTAAGAGACAGATTGGTTTTCCATCTCTCTTAAAGTAGAGAAAACTCCACTCCAGCTTATGTCAGTTTAAGCTTTCAGTTTGTGTGTTTGTTGTAATATATGAGTGTTGTAATCTTTTCAAATTAAATAAAAGTTTCGTTCAAGAAGGGAACGTTATCCCCTTGAACCTTATATATCAAATGAGTTATCTTTCTGTTTAAAAAGTTCCATCATTAACACAGTAATGATTGTCTAATTAGAGATTACGGTCTAAGGTAGGAAACGAATTAGATCTGTGATGAGCCTGATCTAAGGAAGACGAGGTTGGGGTTAGCTACCTTGATAAAGCCGGAAGCTCAGAACGTCGGAGGTTCCATTGTCGACTAAGTTCAGGTATTGGTCAAAACTCTCTAGTTAAATAACTATTATTGCGAAGCACGGTGGACTTTTAAACTGTTAAAATAATTTATTTTCATGTATAAGTAGTTGAGTTGTGATAACTAGTACCGTTAAAAGTCATTTAAGTAATTATCAGATCGAAATATAGTAAAAATCAGTGTATTATTAAAAACTGTTATTTTAAATTAAGGTACTGTTATTAATTTATCAAATACTGTTATTAAGTCTTTAAGTACTGTTATATATCCTTAAAAAAAAAATCTGACGTCACTTGGTATTGGGCGGGGTAGCCTATACCGGGTAGCGGGGTAGCCTATAAATCTGAAATAAGGAGTTATAACTAGGAAAAATGTCCCTCTCATAATAATAAATTAGTATGTCAATTTCAATAATTGTTTTCACTAACTATATATAATCTATACTGCTATACACATCACTACATGTGGTATACTAGAGGTACATTCAAGATGCAAGTGGCCAACTATATGGTATGTACCGCCTGATTTGACTACAATCGCATACACTCATAAGTCATAAATATTGACAAAATTGAGGATATAACAAAACTATAAGTGTCCAAATGTGATGATAATACTCGTAATAAGTAGAGCTTACAAAATCCAAAGTAAGCAACAAAATTGAAAAGGGACATGAACATGCTAGAAGGATATTCATTGACTTGCTAAGGGCTTTTTTTTATTTTTATGTTTATTACAACGGATTCTATTAACGAAAAACAGAATTACAACCTAAGCTAAGTACATGAAAAAGAAATACAAATGACACACTATAATTAATAGCTCAAACAAGCCAAAATGAAACAAAGCATTAAAATTTGGTGAATTGCGCTTTTTCAGAGCCCTGATTTGTCGACGAAATCCACAAGGCATAGCAAAGAAGCCTGTCAACACCAACCATACCTGTGCTATGCAATAACATGAACCCATAACATATGTTGGTTGCATTGTTGTAGCAGAATAGTAGAGGCTAAGGTAGAAACCTTGAAAAGGAACCAGAGGACACCAATACTACTTAACAGAGGAAGGAAGTAGTAAAAGGAACAAAAACCTACGGTCTGATTGAGATAAACTAATTAGAAAAGCTTGATGCTCACGATAAGCAATCCCAATGACCCAAAGTAAGATTAGTCAAGTGGGATTCTTAGCTCTTCACCACAACTGAAGTCACATTTCCTTGTGACTCAGTCACTGAACGAAAGGGTACATTCGTTCTATCCTCTTCAAATGGGATAAGACAAGACTCTACTAGAGCACTATGTGTGGGTTTTAGGTAATATAACGCGGAATTTCACAAATCATATTCGTTCACACCTACACAGGATCTACAAGCATAACACATACAAAATCACATAATACATACCATTGATGCGTGATTTCCACTAGCGATTGACTTCCAATTAGGGAGATAATATATACCCAAACGTTGCTCCTCTACTTAGTCCACGGTATAGGATTGAACCTCCACTAGTGTTAGGTAGTTGGACACGAACACTTTGAACCACCTTCTACAGAGAAGGGAGGAGAAAACCGACCACGAACACCACTACACCACCACCGTGCACCACCTTGCACTAGGGGACCGTACATCTGTACGGACGTGAGGAAGGGAGTGAGGAGAGAGTTTACGTGAAGCTTTAGGGTTTAGTTGCTAGCTAGCAAGTCTATTCTAAATTAACTACTAATTTTTCTCTCTCAAATCCTAGTCAAGGCCTCTATTTATACATAATATGTATCATTAGAGTCCAAACCAAGCCCAAATTACTCTTCCTTTAATCCCACATGGCCGACAACCCCATGATGCCCAATAATGGGCTTCTTCCTTTTGTTCAATCCATCACCCTTTTGAGTGACCTTATAGGATCTATTCTATTGAACTTTGGACTATTTGACTAGCCCAAAGATAATTCATCACGTCTTGCAACAGATAATAACGACCCCAAAAGAACGAACTTAATTATCTCCATAATTAGATCTATTATTTATAGTAATTGCATTTGACGAAGACATAAATCCTTCAATCTCCCACTTGTCCGAGACAAGTGTGCAATATTCAATTTCCTTAAGATCATATGTGTCCATTTGATAATATTATTGCATCAGATGTCGAGATCATATTAATCTACAAATCTTTTCTTGAAATCCGATTTAGAATTACAAAATAAATGATTGCATCAGATGTCGAGATCATATTAATCTACAAATCTTTTCTTGAAATCCGATTTAGAATTACAAAATAAATGATTAGTGAGTAATACATTTGAGCGTGGTCACACATTCACTGAATTCTCCCTCTTCAAGACACGATGACACATTCCTAATTAAATAGGTAGACTCAATCCAATCTTGTGGAAACCAAAGCTTCCACTCTATTCTTTAAGTAACCAAGAAACACCCTTTATAATCTCCAGTTATAGGTAGACATTTGAAAGTACCACAGTTAAATCAATCATTGAATGGAATTAGTGTTCTACTCATGTCTAAGGAATCCACTAATATATACGAAAGCTCTATACTTGAACTTTAGAGTAGGTCAATAGTTTGATCATACATCATTCATTCATATCAATGTGATTGGTCGAGCATCATTATGCCTCTATAGACCATGAAACTACGTTATCCAATCAATCTTACATGCCACTCCATTTATTGAAATCATTTATGTCCAATTTAATCATTTTGAAATAGGAACTTAAATAATGTATTAATTTGGTTCACCTGTGGGGTTTCATTCACCAGGTCATTAACCTAATGATCCCATCAATTCATAATTATTTTGGACATTTTATTTAATATCAAAACAATCATTAAATAAGATTGAAACTTTGTTTCAATTGATAAATATAATTCTGCAAGTAAATGTATTACTTATGTAACATGCTTTCTCAAAACATATACAACTTAAATTACTTAACTTGCTTCAATCTAAAAACCTTAGTGTGACTCTCATACCTTGGTTATGGAAGGGATTTAGTAAGTATAATTCATGAGACATTCTCATAAATATGAATCTTGCAACTTATAAATTTGAATAATAATATTCATCTCCATACACTAAGAACTTTCTGTCATCCTTCTACTAGGAATTAGAAATTTCTAGGTATTCCA